AGTCTATGGGCCAAAGCAACCACTTACCATCAGGTGGACTGTATGCTCGTTTGTCACCGTACCCTATAAAAAGGGTAGCTGTAAGCTATAAGACTGATCTGAAAAATTGCAAATCCAAAATGGCAGCCATCCTCTTGACTTGACTGTGGTAGAGTCACGCAGCGGCTGTTGATGTTGCATGGATAGGCCAGCTTGAACCGGAATGGTACCACGACCTCACAGAATACCTGCGTGAAGTAGAGGTTTACCTCTGCGTTTCGCTTGAGCTGGTGGCCCAATTCTCCCTACCCCTTAAGGGGAAATATAACCTCAAATGGCTTAGCAAGATCCTCCGTTATGCCGAAAATATTGCAGCATTAATTTTGAAATAAATATATGATAAAGTTGAAGATTAATGTTAAGGAATATGTTAGATGAAAACACGATTCCGTAAAATTTTCTGGATAGAAAAAAATCCAAAATTACCTCCAAAATAAACAATAAACCGTTGTTATTCATAAAATATTTTAAATAAGATCATGAAACTTTGCATACTAACTGAATTAGCTATAAAGCAGTGCTTATGTTATTTACTTTTTTTAATACCATTATTTTTACTGTAAAAAGAAATTACCTAAACTATCGGCGTAATGAAACTTGATTTCTGTCGCCCGGTCAGTTTCGCTCCGGCCTTTGAAGAGGGAGGTTGTGTCGCTTACGATCAGAATACACATTACGCAACAGGACGACGTAAAATTAAAATGGGAAATAACCGTAATAAAAATAAGAAGCGACTGGGTTGGCGTTAAGAAACAGCCATAAATATAATAAACCTAATGAAATAAGTATCCAACGACCTATCTACTTACAGTATTAGTGATTACAAGCATGTCGGTGCATAGCATACGACGCTCAGGGAAGTGGGGGCGAAATTAGAATTTGAGCTGACTTACTATATCCTCTTATCATTAGAATCAAATAAAAACTGCCCCAAGAGGGTACCCTCACTCCTGGTGACGTAAAATCCCTCGTTGAGCATCCACGACCGGGCTACTTTACTCTTCCGGAGCGTGGGTGCTTAAGTGTACTGGAAGCAATAAGACAAAGGCAACTTCTCTCACGCTATCCGTGAATTTTTGCAACATCAGGACACTTCATTCCAATCTTAATGCTGTCCACTACCACCCGGAGACGGCGAAGTTGGCCTTGTTTTTTTTAACCGAGACTCCTCTCCGGCTGATACTTCATATCTCTCATACCCGGGGTACAAATTAGAACACTCCTTTGTGCCACCGGCTGGAGTTTGTTCTGTTTTGCATTTACTAATATATACTTTTTTTTTCATTTATAAAAGAATTTTTTTTAATTACATGGAAATTTATTTTTTATTCAAACTATATACCTAATACTAAAAGAAACTTTAGTATTAAGTTATTTTTTTATAATAAACATGTTTTACATTACATATTTTGTATATTTTATCGATGATTACATGCTCACTGGACAATCAAGAAGACTTTTAAATGATCTACAGACGCCTCCTACTTGCTTCATCTTTTTTGAATTGTCAAATTGTTGAAATTTATTAAAACAGACAGATATACTTTTGCATTCGCATCGCGTATTACTCTTATAGTTGTAGTATTGTATCTCGATTTTCAGGGACTTTTAAAAAAAAGTGGCAACACTTCTCCGACTCACACAAAGTTATAAAATTGTTTACAGTTTCTTGTTCTAAGTGCGATATCTAACTTTTTTACTTCATCTGAGACTATCATCAAGGAATTCCAAATCTTAATATGTTTGATGGTGAAAACCCACATCTCGTTATTATTGATGATCTAATGAGAGAGTCCTATGTAACTTTAAACTCGAACAGTGTTTTGTATTAGATTAAATAGAAGAGATATAAAGAAATAGAAAATAATATATTGCATATAATTTGTTTTATTTAATTTTATAACGTTTCACATAGTTACGTACACACAAAATGCATTACACATAACACATAAAATCTAACACCGAACACATATTATAACCTTAACTACTATAGTCTACAGTAGCATTTCTGTTTTTATCTATCTCAATAATATTATCAAACTCAGCATAAACTATACAGTTAATTGTTTGTATTAGTGAGGATTCAAATCGTACTTCTAATCTTACACTACCATGCTTTATGAGATTCCAATGAGCTGATGAGTTGGCTGATAAATCAGGAGTTAAGTCAAATGCTAACAGACAGTAACCTTTGGCATACTGTTCACAAGAGATTCCATTTCCTTCATTAAGAAAGTGAATACCAGTTCCCGAGAATAGAGTGTGATATGCTGATGTAAATATACTATTATTAAAAGATAGTTGCAAAGCTTTTGAAGGTATTTGTTGGCCATCAATATATAAGCTGAAGGAATTAATACCATAGTTTTCAAAGTTAAATGGATTTTAGTAAGGGAAACATTAAATGCAGAATTGTTCACAAATCCAATTATACATCTTTTGGGTACCTGTCCTAAAAATATATTATCAAGAGTTTTTCCTTGAACACCCGATGGAATTGTTAAAACTTTTACTTCAGCTCGAGTAATAGGATATTTAGCAGTGGTAGAAGCTAAAACTTTTTTGATGTGCGAGTAATACACTTGGATTAATTCGTGCTCGTCGAACAATAAGAGTTGCGTCCATAATGCAAACTTGAAACTTTACATCGTTTGACCCAGCAATTAAATTAAAACTCTCTCTTGATCGAACCAATTTAACACTCATTTCAACACCATTAATTAAAAATTTATCTTGGTTGAAAATGTCACCGTGAAGATGACCAATCATTTCTATTTCCTTACTTTCACTAATCAATTCCTATCTTTTAACAAATCCTATGTTTTTACCATCCGTAGAATCCGTTTTTCCTGCTGTATCATCATACCAAAGACTACAAGTAAGATGAGATTGTTTAGCAGCAGGAGCATAGTTTAAAAGGGTTTCCATGTATGCTCGATATGCATAGGTATTATTAGGTGGTGATACAAGTTTTTGGTTTAAATAAACATCAAGTTGACTAAAATGTGAATGCAGCCAATTATTTACAGGTGCTACTATTGTAGTTGATATCAAGTTAGTTGAATTTTGATTTAATACTTTTGCCTTTATGTGAAGTAATGTATGAGACAAATCTATGTAGTCATCGCCTGTCCCAGGAACTTGAAACTCGATAGGTCCATCATCACCAAGAGATGAAATTGGTTTATAATGAATCCACAATCCATTTTCAATGCTAGTTTGTGCCTCTCGCAGTAAAAGGACCCTCTAGCGTAAAAATTTATGATTAATCGACATTAATCATAAATTTTGTTTGATTTCCCAAAAACATTAGTTATAGTACAAAATATATATTAATTGTTTACACCAACACTTTCATTTTTTATTTCACCCCTTAGAACTTTAGACGTGTGTAATGTTTCACTTTATACATCCGTTTACTGCTATTGTGGCAGGACCAAGTGGATATGGGAAGTCAAATTTTATAACAAATTTCATAAAATCAGTTACAGAAATATGTAATTGTGATTTTAATCAGATCACATGGTGCTTTGATGAAATGCAACCTTTATATAATTTACCAAATCTTAACTATCATCAAGGAATTCCAAATCTTAATATGTTTGATGGTGAAAACCCACATCTCGTTATTATTGATGATCTAATGAGAGAGTCCGATGGAAGAATTGTGGATATATTTACAAAAGGTAGTCATCACAGGAATCTCAGTGTATTTTATTTAACACAAAATTTATTTCATCAGGGTAAAGGGCAAAGAGACATATCTCTAAACTCAAGTTATATAATATACTTTAAAAACCCTCGAGATAAAACTCAAATAAGATATTTAGCACGACAAGTGTCACCAGATAACCCAAAATTCATTGAAGATGCCTACAAGGATGCAACTCTAGAGGCACATGGATATTTAATGGTAGATTTAAAACAGAATACCAATTATTTTTGTCGTATCAAGACAAATGTCTTCCCATTTAATGGTTTCTGTACAGTCTACGTCCCCACAAAAGAGTTTAAATACACCAAGAATCAAACAATTAAAATCATTGCTAAATGATGCATCGTCGACTCACAACGCATAAACATTTGCTAAACGCTTTGCATACGCTTAAACCAAAATATCAAAGAGCATTACTTAAAAAGTGTGATGAAGAAGAAATTAACTGTATTTGTGAGTGTATTCATAACGTTTTACAAGGAAAAGTACCTCTTATCAAGATAAAAAAAATTGAATAAACACAAAAATATACTCCGTAAACTAGTGCGTAAGTGTAAATATAAATTAAGAAAAAATATAATTATACAAAAAGAGGGGCTTTCTTACCATTAATATTAGGTGCAATATTGAGTGGATTAGTGAGTGGACTAGCCAGTTAACATGGAAAATGCAAATAAAATGATACTTATCGAACCTGGATTGATTGAAAAATGAAAACAAGAAAATAAGGTTAATAGTAATTTATCTCGATTAGATATTGAAATGCAAAATATTATGAATAGTAAGACGGAAGACCAAAAGAAATGGATGTTATATTTACAAACACTGCAAAGATACCTTCATTTTATCGAAGAGGATCGTCAACCACTCAGATTAAGGAACCATTCTTAAGGAAGAGTGAGTGAGTGCGCGCGCGTCGCTGTGTTGACATCGTATAACATTAGCTCCGGTTTAAAAATATTATTGTTTTTAAAGTTTATATTTCAACCTAAACGTAATGCATGTGAAATTGTAGAAGTGAAACTGTAGACATTATATTTGAATAAAAGTGATTTTTATAGACAAACATTACAACATTAACAGTGCGAGTAAAATAAGGTCAACAGTGATAATTTTTCAAAACAGTGGACTTTGATATCAAACGCTGTTGCGAATCAAACGTATTCTTTTATTTTATACCCACTTGTGTGACTTGCATAAAGTAATAGTTTGTTTATTTGTTAAGATCTTTTGATTAGCTGTAAATATGAAATGCTTAGCATGTTCGAATTCTATTGAGAAGGGAGAATTATTGGGTTGCGTTACGTGTAAAGGAACTTATCATTACAGATGTTTGAATATTACAACGGCGAAATTTATGGGTAATTTCCAACAAATCAAACGAACATGGAAGTGCCCTACTTGTACAAATGTTACTAAAAGACGACACAGAAATGATGACACCCCAATAAAAATAATTCGTGAAGAATCGTCCCCCTCCGATTTAGTTGACATGTCCTGTGATAATATTTCGCAGACAGAGGATAGTAACGAACAGTTATTCCCGAATATGGAGCATCCTGGAGTGCCCAAAGTGAATACTTTTTCATTTTCCCTAGAAGAAATTGGTAAATTGCTGGATCAAAAATTAGAATCCAAACTAAAAAGCGCACATATTTGTCTAGCCACAGAAATCAAGCAAGAATTTCGTGACGTTTTAAAGAATTTAGAAAGTGATTTCAAGCAAATAACTGAATCCTTAACACAAGAAGTATGTAACTTAAAGCTTGAGGTCAATACCCTTAGTGAAAAAGTGCAGGCACTCGAGAATGAAAACATGTGCATCCACAAAGAAATTGAATCTCGTCAAACTGCTCAAACAAATGCACACTTGGAGAGTATTATTACGGAGTTACAGCAGCAAATAACCTACAAAGATCAAGAAGCCCTGCTAAATGATGTCGAAATAGTCGGAATACCAGAATTTTCAGGCGAATCAACAATGCATATTGTGTTGACCGTTGCCTCTAAACTCGGAGTATCTCTAACGGAACAAGACATAGTTTACGCTGAGCGCGTCGGTCGCCGTTTAAATTGGCTGCATAAGGATACGCGAATAGGTAACCAAAACAACACATCATTATCTATTAGTGCGCGCCCCTTGGCTGTAAGATTGACGCGTCGTACATTACGCGATCACTTATTAAAAAATGCTCGAGTGCGCCGTACGCTTACTACTGGAGACCTAGGACTACCACCTCACGAATCAACTACTTTTTATGTTAATGAACGTTTAACAAAAATAAACCGCATTTTATTTGCTAAAACACGTGAAATAGCTAGAAATTTAAATTGGAAATTTGTATGGACAAAGAGGGGGTCGTGTTTATGTTAAGCGTGAAGACTCTCATAATATTCCTGCGCGCATAGTAAACTCCGAAACGGATATTGAACGTATTTTTTGGTGTACCCTATTCAAAAATTTCTAAATAATGTTAAATGTATTTTGGGGCTCCTTACTATTTTATTTTTGTTCATTTTATTAGATAATATTGTGCTTTTTATTATACCTTATACTTTATTATTAATTACATGTTATTTCATACTTTTTAATTCCTATCTTTTATACCATATTTCATTACGTCTATATTCTGCAGTAGTTTGCTGTAGTAATGTTGTACGTGTGGTAGTATTTTTAACCTTATGTGCTAATAAAGCTTCTGTCCTGCAGAATCTGTATTATTGCGTAAACATTTTTATGACTTTGTTAATTTTTTTGGAATTGGTTAACGTTATTTTAACTTACTTAGTTAGTTTTACTTACTTTCTTTTGTTAGCTAGTACAAGTATGGAAATATGTTGTTTTTATTCTGAATATTTTTTTAATATTTATTTTTACCTTATTTTATTCTCATTTTTGTGCGAGTACTTTGTAAATTTTTTTGCTAAGTTGTATGTATTTTTTGATGATATATTGAAAATAATTATAGATTTTATATGCATGCCGATGCTAGCCAGTTCAAATTATAATATTATATGTTACTATAAATACTCTTTAATTATTTGTGTTCAACATATCGACGATTATATACATGAAATGATTATTCATACAAAAATATTATTACAATATGGCTACTACTAAAAGTAAAAGTTTAAGAGTTGGCCTTTATAATGCTGGGTCGATCAGAAGCAAAAACGATGAGTTTCAGGCAGCTCTGCTGCGTGAGTCTGCTGATATTATGGCGATAAACGAAACGTGGCTACGAGCTGGTGAAGATGCCTGTGCTCCGTTAGTTCCCGGCTATCGCTTCAGTCATATTCCCCGTTCTTGTAACATATCTAGAACACGTGGTGGTGGTGTTGGTTTTTACATCAAACGAGGGATTAATGCTCGTTCTTATGCCCATAATATTATCTTTGATGAGGTGGAGCAGCAGTGGCTATCGCTATCCATTAACAAAGTGAAGCTTTTAATCGGAACGGCCTATCGACCACAATGGGTAAATGTAGAAAGGTTCTTTGATTCTCTTACAGACACTTTAACTTCGTATTCAAATTTCGATAATATAATTTTATTAGGAGATTTCAATATAAATATTTTGGATGAAAGTGACAACAAAACGCAACAGCTTAATCAAATCTTGCAATATACTAGGTTGAAAAACTGTATTTTTCAACCTACCCACTTTACACAAGAGAGTGCTACATTAATTGATTTGGTAATGACGGACGCCGGTGTGACTAATACTAGTGTAAAATATACTCCTGAACTTGGTGGTCATGCTATCATATTAGTTGATTTTAAGATTAAACGACCTAAGCTAGCTCTAAGGCAGCAAATTATAAGACCTATGAAAAATATCAATCTGTCAGATTTTGAGTCGGAAGTTGAATCCATAAATTGGGATAGCATTACTAGGTACAATTGTGTGAATGATATGGTTTCTGTTTTCTCCAAACGCATTTTAGAGTTGTTTGATAAACATGCTCCAGAGAAACTAATAATTATGCGTAAGAAACAATTGCCATGGTTCACGAGTAATGTTAAGTACATTATGCAGCTCCGGGATAGCGCGCACAATAAATATCGTCAAACTAAAACTGAGAGAGATAAAATTCAATATAAGACCCTTAAAAGTCTGGTAAACAGCACTCTCTATGCCGAGAAGAAGGCATATTTTGATTACCACATTAATCAACATATACATAACACAAATGTTCTATGGAAAAATTTGAAGTCATTTGCGTTACCATCATTTAAAAGTTCGAATGAATTACCAGAATATTTTAGTGATCCCGACGAAATTAATCGTCACTTTTTGAGTATACCGGGAACAAACATCGCCTATTCACCTAATGTAATTAATTTGGAAAGTATAAACCGTATATCTGATACTTTTAAGCTAATGCCAGTTCATGAAAATGTAGTTGCAAAAATCATAATGGGAATTAAGTCAAATGCTCAAGGCGTTGACCGCATTAATATGGATATGATAATTCTAACGCTCCCGATAACTTTAAATGTTATAACTACAATAATTAATAAATCCATTACAGAGTCTGTTTTCCCTTCTTCTTGGAAAAGCTTATTCGTCCAATACCAAAAAAAAGTAACCCAACAAATGTAGGTGACCTAAGACCCATTAGTATACTGCCTTATTTATCGAAAATACTTGAAAAGGTTGTTTACTCACAAGTTTTGAATTTCTGTGAAAAAAATCAAATAATACCCAACCTACAATCAGGTTTTAGAAAAAATTACGGTACAGCAACAGCTCTGATTAATGTCGTGGATGATCTGTTATCTTTTTCGGATTCTGGAGAAGGTACTATTCTCACTTTATTAGATTTTTCAAGGGCCTTTGACTCAATTAACACAAATTTGCTGATTTGTAAGCTTTCATATTACGGCTTTGATAAAGAAACACTCAAGTGGTTCAAAAGCTATTTAATTGACCGTCATCAACAAGTAGTTTTAGACGGGCACAATGGTAAAAACTGTGTCTCGAAGCTTCTTCCTGTTGATAGAGGTGTTCCTCAAGGTTCCGTGTTAGGGCCTTTACTTTTTATTATTTATAGCGCTGATATAATAAACTGTCTCCAAAACTGTAAATACCATCTATACGCCGATGATTTACAGGTTTACTTACCCATAGATCGAAAAAATATTAATGCTTTAGTAAATAAGTTAAATCAGGATCTTCAACGTATTTGCGATTGGTCACAAAATAACTCTATGGTAATTAATCCTTCAAAGTCGAAATTCCTTATCATTGGCACTAAAAAGCAGGTACACGATATTGGTATAACTAAACCCGATATACGTGTTAATGGAGAGACAATTGCACAAGTTCGCGAAGCACGTAATTTGGGCATTATTTTTGACAGCAATTTGAGGTTTGAAAACCATGTAACCAATTTGGTACAAAACTGCTTTTACAGGTTAAAAGTTCTATACAAATTTAGACAATTCATTACAGTTAATTTACGTGTAAAACTTTGTGAAACTCTAGTTTTAGCTAAATTAAATTATTGTATAACTGTTTACGGACCTTGTTTGCTTAAGAAATCTCAAAAATTAATCCAAAGGGTACAGAATGCTTGTGCACGCTATTGTTTTTACATACCGAGACGATCTCATGTCACGTCATATCTTAACGCTTCGAATATGTTAAAAATGCAGGGGCGTCTCAAACTTTTTTATGCTTCTTTGCTATTTGGCGTAATAAATACAAAGACCCCAGAATATTTATACAAAAAACTTAACTGGAGAAATGACCAACATTTATATAAAATTCGACTATGCTCTAAAGTTTTATGCGTCCCTAAACACAAAACATCGGCTTTCCGGGGCAGTTTTAAGTTTATGGCATCTAAGTGTTGGAATGATCTCCCACCCCCCTCTACGCACTATGACAAGTAAAAACAGTTTTAAAAAGAATTATAGACGTCACTTATTGAGCGAACAATTACTGTCATAATCGTATTATTCTTACATTTTAGTTTTATAAATAAAATATATAAATATTGCCAGTAGGCGGTAGTAGATTTATAAGCTCAAATAAGTTAGGCTCAGTAAAATACATATTATTTAATACTTTGTTGTTATTACTATTAGTTGTATTGTTGCAATAATTATTAATAATATAAATTTTATGGAAAAATCTATGATAATTTATATTATATTATTATATTATATATTTCTTAATTATTAATTTGAACTGGCTAATACTCGTAATAATACTCGTAATAATACTCGTAATACTCGTAATACTCGTAATACTAGCTGAAAAGGAACTCAGGTTCGGGCGTCCTCTTGATCCTGAAAAGGACCAATTGAAAAGGACCTAGCGGATCGGGTACTAAGAAACAGGAATCGAGGCTTCTCTCGATCCGGCCTCCTATGACGCCTACGTTGGGTTCGGGAACAACGTATGTGATCTCCGCAACGGAGTAACACACTAGGGCGATAACCTCTTCCTTTTCAGCAAGTAGGTTCAGACGGGGATTACGGGTCTTCCGAAGTCGTCCCGGTCCCGACGCCTTAATTCTTCGATGTGGACTGTATAACTTAAAGGATCTTGGGAATGAAACAGCAATTATCTTCAAACCGTTCCGTGAGAGAGTAATCACTTTTCCCTATACTGCTGGTTTTTCACTTTTCTTGAACTTTTTCCCGGATTTTCTTATTTATTTCCGAACTATTTCCGAACTTCCCCGAAGGATTCCCGAACGATTTCCGAACTTCCCCGAACGATTCCCGAACGAATTGCAATAAAACCCGTTCACTAAGCTACCCCAGAGCTATACGCGAAAGTGAGCCGCGCCATCTGCGCGCTTGCGCAACTCAATTACATGAATTTGTTCTATTACTCTCTCACGTTTCACTCAATATCTTTATTTATTCAAATCATATACAAATACAATTTATCAATATAGGTAGTACAAAACAATATCTACACCATGATATACATCATATCTTCATATCATAAAAAACCTTTTATTTATTAAACGAAAACTGCCTATTTTACTCACAAGTTCGAAATCGAAATTTCTTAAATATTTAACACAGAAAGTTAAAACAATGTTTCTCACTTGAATTTATACATAAGCTAACCAATACAATAGTTTAATTTACATTCTTTCTATTTATTTCACTATTTAAAACACTTTTAAATTTCTTATACAAAACTATCATTATTTCACTTATACACAGGAATTTTCACATGAAAATAACACAGAATTTACCTTTTTAGCACGTACAATTAACCTGAAATATTTTACAAGTAATTTTTACATAAATCACTGAATTACAAACATTTTAAATTTTTACATATTCGGCCTCCTAAGGGCGTGGCCAGCGTGCTTCTGTGTACTCACGCTATGTGAACAACT